GATTTGCTCCACTCTGGTGCTCTAATTCAGTGACTTCGGTGGATAAGAAAATTGGAATCTGGAACGCAATATTCACGCCCATATATTTGCTGTTAAATGCGCTTTCAAAACTAATGACTGCACTGGGTCTCTTTTCAAACGATGCATTCTCGTTTTTGTGTGGACGCAACAGAGATGACAATGGATAAACAGTATCGTGTGTTCCCGTATCTCCCGTTAGTTGGAATCGCTGGAATTTAGCTGCCATCGATCTATGAATGACAAATTAGGCTGAACAAAGTAAAGCTAGCTGGGGGACCAAGCATGTTTTTCCCTATACTTTGACTCAGCAAATATAATGACTGTTGAAAATCCAGTTGTTTAGTGCCCCACATTAACAGCTGGAACCTGCACAGGAAACGATGAACCGCGCACACTTTCCTGATATATTACGAACGAACCATTTAGTTTCCGCCATTGAACTGCTTGGAGCTAAATTTTGCCACATTGCTATTCGGAAACAAATGCTCACGTTTGTCCACTAGCGAATGAAACACTGACATCCAAAAAAACGCTTGAAATACATCTTTCGGATTTGCTCCACTCTGGTGCTCTAATTCAGTGACTTCGCTTCGCTGGATAATTGGAATCTGGAACCCAATATCCACGCCCATATATTTGCTGTTAAATGCGCTTTCAAAACTAATGACTGCATTGCCAAGTAATGTTCAATCAGAATCACTGGTGTCTTTAGTTCCGTTCAATCTGCCCTGAATTTTATTTTTTTCCGTAAGTTCATTAGAGTGGTAGGTGGTGATTATTTGAGCCAGCTCATGGACTGGGCATTACAAGTCATCCTAAGATGTCTTCACAGAAATGCGCAGTCATACGCTTCTATATTTTTCACCCAGAATATAAATTGATTGGATCAGACAATGTCCTCGAATTCGCTATCTCAGTTCACTAGGATTTCGGGTTTTCTCCCATCAAACATAAGTTGGAATTGCTGAATCCTACTCTTGATGATATATGTACCAAACCCTATCCGCAACGGAATGAGAAGCCCCTCTGCATACCTAGTCCTCCAACGGTAATCACATTTGGACCCGGCATTTGATAGCTTGTCATCCATGGTAGAAACGGTACCCCAGTGTGAACAGACCGTCGCGGAGCTACCGCTTTCAGGCAACATACTGCTTTCAAGAATGGAGCACCTGATAGGTAAACGTGACCCCAGTGGTGGTCTAGCTACCCAGGAAGCTAGCCTACCAGTAATGTCTGGCACAGAAATAAAAATAGTAACGCTAGGTTGAGTGCACTATAATACAGAGGTCAGATGTAACAGACTAAAGAGGATTTCTCCTCTTAAAAACATTTCGTCATTGGACCAGGACGGCGGATAAATAATACTTGACTCACGGTTTTCCAGCCGTCTTCTTTTGAATGGTTTTTACAGCAAAATCAGGATGGACAGTCGAATCTTGTGGTAACGTTTGTATTGCGTAAAATTGTACAAATGTGCGCTTCTTGACGTTGATTTCATTCAAACAAAGAACAGATATGCACTTGAAAATATACGTAGTGTTATAATGAAAGCAAAAGAAAAATACAAAGAACTACATCGCTAACGCTTATTCTTGGCATGTGTACAAGCTTTCCCCGGCTTCCCGAGAAACGTCCTACGCTTGCGCGGAAAAGTATTGGCTAAAATCTTTTGCGCGGATAACCAGGGTTCGGCACTATTTATACAATCGCAAGCAAAAATTAGAACACCTCTCCTGTTGCTTATCAGTTTGACTATGCCGTCACCAAGAACAGGCGGCTAAACCAGGTGTCGCAGCGCGAAAACTACAACGTTTTCCAGTCTCTTCCAAGAGGGTGACCGTCAGGTCCACACTCATCAAAATCTACGATCTTTGTCAGGGTGGTTCATCATTTCCCTAATATATTATGTTGATCCAGATCCCCGTATCCCCGTGGTTCAAAATCAGATCAATGGTCTTAAAGCCTTGTTGTCGTTTGTTATCAGAATTGGTGCGTCTACTGATCAAATGCCTTCCATTTAGTCGTACATCCAACTGACATCCATCGCGTATCAGAGACACTCAGATTTTGACTGCTCAATTTATTCTAATAAACGAGTCTCTGAGCAGACACACATACATTTATCCCAAACTAACACAGGCTCAAAACACTTGGGATTGTTCAATGCCGCAGTACATCTGGCATTGACGTGACGACCGTTTCACCTGATCTATCTTGTTCTTTTAAAATGCTGAGTGCTACCCACTGACGAGTGCATGGATTGTGCACAGTTCTATCCGTAAAATTGGATAGCTACTAGGGAATTAATCATTCAAGCCTGGCTGATCCCATTTCGCAAGCTCGCATTCCCCATATGTTTCAACCATTTGCCACAACGTGTGTAACCTAAAGACTTGGGATCTACAAAGTCAGCAGTCGAAGCAGGTTAAGCAAAAAATATACTTGATGTGTAGCACGGAATATGTGCTTTTGTGCACAAATAAGCATCACCAAAGCAAGATGTTAAAAAATGTCACATGCAACTATCTTTCGAGGCTAGCTTCCACAGTTCCCCATAAGGGCAAGCGCTCAGTGCGGAGCAAACAAGCAGTAACCAAAGACTTGACGATGATATCTTACTGCTGAATCGCCCGATATAATTTCATGCCGTGATGCGTGACACCGGGTGCGTAATCATGGCAAATGAGTGATTTCAATCCATATATTATGTGCCAAATAGACTACCAGTATCTATCCAACGGCGTTGCTTGACTACAGCCGAGGCAGTCACTATACGACTGCGGAAGCCGGTACTGCGCTTTCAAAAACACTTCGTACGAACGATGAATCTGCCTTACTTGCGTGACACGAATCAACCGGCCAAGTCAATCAACGGCCCACTTCACTCTCTCAAAGCATCCAACTAGATGCGGCATGGACGGGGAGGCGCAGTCAGCCAATCTTTCGTGTCTCCAGGTTTTGCATTTCTCTAGCCCAACGTCCCAGCGCATTTCGTTTTTCGCTCCAATATTAACCATTCATAATGTGAGGACCTGATTAAGAGATCCCGAAAGCTTCAGTGTTCGTCACTGTGTTTTTTTTCAATCCATATGGGTACTTTAGCAAAAAACTTGATGTGTAGCACGAAAAATGTGCATTTGTGCACATTTAAGCATCAACAAAGATAGCTGAGGAATCGAGTGTCATATGCAACTATCTCTCACGGCTAGCTTCTACAGTTTCGCATAAGTGTAAACACCCAGTACGGAGTAAACGAGCGATAACAAAAGACCTGGCGATTTGCGTTCAATTTCATGCCGCGATGCGCGGGACCTGTGAGTTTTACAGCCCATCATCTTCACGAAACGCATAGGGAAATTTCCGATAACCCAAACTTGGACGTTCTATTCAGAATCACCTACAGCTTTCTTCATAAATCCGGGAGAAATACCCTCACATGACGCAAACCGCTCCTGGCAATGCAGCTAGCAGCAGATCAAATTTGCCTCAAGAATACGGATAACATGTTCAGTGTCCACGCATTGCTGCGGGTAAAATACAGGTGAAAATTTCATGGTTGTAGTCGATGTCAGAATGAATCACGCAGAATTCAAACACATGATTTTGCAGTTAATACGGGAGATACTAATTGCGACACAATTTTTGTACTAAGAAAAATAAGCGGTTAGCCCGGGAAACGTTTTTAAGTACTGTGTTAAGAAATTCGGTTTACATTGCGAAAGAAATTTGTTGAGTGTATAACCATCGAAGTGTGTAACAATCGCCTACTGATGATAGAATTTATAAGGATTTCAAAGCACGATATACGTTGCACATGAATACTGCGTTAATTGATGTGATTCTATCTGTTGACACTATGAAAATAAGGTGCCCTGAAACGTGGTCGACTTGAATAAGTATGTTTGCCCAGCATGAAGGTCAAGAAGACGATGCAACACACTAGGCGCTCAGTCGCACAAGCGCCAACAAGGCAAAGACACTCGCACGCGTATGCACGATTCATATGAATTTGGGTGAAACGCAATGCGCATTTGATGTAAAATCATGGGTATTTTGCTTCAGATTAAACTGGAATCAGGCATGACTAGGAGGAATTGGCATCATAAACCCGAGAAAGTAAAGTCTGTGGTAAAATCAGTTCCGTATTGTCCGTCAGTGGCCACTCGAAATAACGGTGACTAGGCCTTGTACGTCTAATTTCAGACGTGCTCCTTACAAACAACAATCAGTTCCGTATTGTCCGTCAGTGGCCTTGTACATCTAATTTCAGACGTGCTCCTTACAAACAACTCAAATAATTTCGGTTAAAATGTCCGCAACATGGTTTGTATTACAGCTAGATCTTTGATCATAGGCATAATTTGCATGGCTCGGTTCTGTGTATAGGAATGTCATGTGGAGACCGGTTTTTCCACGGATTCACGGATTCCCGATATGGTTCGCGGGTTGATAAGCAAGACTGAAGTTTTTGTCCAGGCTTGCCTGGTCGATTTATTTGTTGTTGTTCAGCGGCTTCTGTTCAATTTCAAAGCATAAACAAAAAGGGTATATCATTGGTCTATGAGTTCTCGGCAAGGCGCAGTAGTCTATCAAATGCGAGGCTTAGTGAAAAGGCGTCCGAAAGCGATCTCAACTGGCTGCAGGACGCATCGTGAACATTTGCTGGAGGAAATACATTCCACAACAACTACACACAATGAGAATAGCTGTTACTTGTCAAAGGTGCGCGCTTGGGGCATGAAAAGTTTTAACCATGTCCCTGCCGCGTGGTATTTTGGTCAACGGCGGACATACCTCTTTGCCAAATCTTGTTTGAACGAGGCGTAGGTGAGTATTAAGACTCCCTGAAGGCGACGATACACCCCGATGGGAACATCGCAAGACGCCATTCAAAATCAGCGGGCAACATTTTTCGTACTGTCTCGTTAAATACGCTCAGTGAGGGCTGCATCTTTCTCGAGCCAAAATTTAACAAATTACTCGGCATTGGCACGACTCAGTCTGACGTACTCCCCAAATATTATCATAGAGTCCATGCCACCAATAAGGGGGAAGGCTCCTCGGATCCCCTCTGGAACGTCGAATGCCTTTGAGTCACTTTTCTCTGCTGCACTGGGAAGGTTGTGTCTGATTAGAGATAGGTAACTAAGTCGTTTTGATATGTGTCCTCGTAATATCTTGTATCCAGTCTCAACATGCACGATAAAAGGCGTTCGCATAGTCGAATCTCAGTGACATACCGACGCAACTTTCGTCATTCAGGATCAGGAGCCAATCCAAAGACTGCTTCTACGGTGCGTCTACATTTTGTTTTGATTTGAAATTCTGATTTACAGATATCACACGTTTTCCAAATTGCCAGCCCGTTCTACATTTAGCTATCTTTTTAAGAGATAACTGAGATCTCCCTTCCAGATTACATCGGGTTATTTTATGTTAATTTCTGTCCGTCTGAATGCGCACTGCAGTTCCTCTGCCTTAAAAATTTTCAGGACCATGGTCTGCGAATCTCTTGCACAGAATCTGGATCCTGTTTTAATTCCACGGGGAAAATACTTATGCACGGGAACTCTGCGCGCATGTGTTTCGGAATTTTTGGCCCAGCACCAAGTGAAATCAAACGTCAGCACAAAATCGCCACTCTAGTCAAGTGGAACTTCAACTAACGCCTGATTAACTAGGGATCTTAAGTGGGTGATAATGATGTCCAACAGGGATGAGGGTTTGCTTCCCGTTGTCGAACGGTTGGGGCGGTCTTTCATGTCCAAGCGTTCTACTGAAATGCGTGGGCCAGCATCGACGCAGAGAATCTACTAGAACCAGGTCGCCATACTTCCATTCACCAAGAACTGATGTGTGAAAGGGTAGCTCGAAGACAGTTGCTGGCGTGATTGTGAGTGAAAACGTTGACCCAAATTGCAACGGTACGCCACGCCATAAAGAAGCAGATTGGTCCCAGTCAGAGGGGCTGGAATCAACATAGTCGTGGGACAGGACAATCGAGATGCGAAGGATCGCAAGTAATTATCAAGCAACATCATGTGTCCTCTCGCCTTCCCAATCAGCTCCGAAAATGGATTGGCCTCTCTCCGTGTCAGAGACATTTATTGTAACCCTAATCCGCGAATAGGCAATCATGGTTGACCGAAATAGCAGATGGGCTGTTTAACATCGTGTAATTTTCGAAATCATCAAGGCCAACCATATCTCCGCTGCGCCTGAATGTGAGAAACTGACAGCTGTGTCACCTTATAGTTAAGCAGATTTAATAGTTGCACGCTGTTTGAATCCAAGACTGCGAGAGGAACTGGTTTGCTTCCGGCCCGGGTTTTTCCTGGCAACTGCCGTATGTTTTGCNTTTTCCTGGAAACTGCCGTATGTTTTGCAGGGCGTTTTACGTGCCACAACAGTATGGTTTGTGCGGACGTTTATCCTCTTCCCAATTAAAATTTCTGCTACTCGGTGCTCGCACAGAAGCACATTTCGACGTCTCACCTCTTGTTGCTTAAAGACACACGGCATCAGTATAACACCATCAAGGGTTGCTTACATTCAGGGCACTCTCACGAACATCGCTTTTTCAGAGGATTGCACCCTGAATCTAGCCAACCGCTTGTCGGTGAGGCGAGGCTTACGCGGTTTATTCGACCGCAGTCGCTTTCTTTTTTGTGCCAATTTGCAGGTCATGCGTGATTAATGTGGCTAATTAGGGGTAGGTAGGAATTTTCAAAACACAGTTGTCAGGTTTGTTTTTGGCTATCGTGTTTATGAGTAACGAATGTCTCGAAAATAGGAGAATCCGATTTGACGGAGTGGACCCGGCGAATGGAATTACCGAATATTTCGTCGTTTCTGGTTTCTCACAGAAATCCCCGAAGCCAAACGTAAAATCTGCGGTCAATCTCTTGGCTTCCAACGTGCCACCACACAGCTGACTCAAGTCAGTTTAAAGCTTGTTGATTGTGTGAAGTTGAAACCTACGCACTTGTCATCCGGTTAGGAAATGAACGTCGATGATCCTACGTACATCATATGGTGTGTTTACGCTGGGCGTACCTCCTCACGAGCATCATTTTCGTTGGTAGTGGATGTGCCTCCAACGGCTGAATAGATACTGCAACCCAGAGATGCCAGTTGCGTCGGCGTGCTTCTAAGATTAAAATTGTATACGAATACAATCCAGTTTGCCGTACGTTCGCGGTCGTGTGCGCTCTCAACAACTAGAAGTTCTGACGCGCCTCGCTTATAGGAATGTTGTGGCTGAATTATTGCAACTCCAGATAGTGACCCTAGGGTTTGAGCCTAAATTTTCTGTAAGCTTTTCAGTGCCGACATCCGCGCCAAGGTGCTCTGTACGGCAGTTAATATGAAAAAGAGACTATAAGTCTAAATGTTCACATGCTTGCTTTTTCGTGAAACCACACTGCCTGTGGAGATTTATTTATGCTGATCGCTGGCTTGTTCGCTGGGCTGGGCAATTTGATTGCAAACGTTTCATCACCAATCGAGGTGACATCATTAGTGCGTTTTTGTGGAGCGTAGTAGTGCATAGCGGTGGGTTGGTGGTTGTGCTTATTTATGGCCTTATGGGCTTTGTGCCAATCTCATAAGGGAACGGATATGCCAGTTTTTTCAGCTCGGTTATTCATAGTTACTTAGCTTGCTCTTCTTCATGCTCTTGTCCACTAGAGACGCAATGGTGGTGCTTGCTGTCACGATCGAAATCCCTATACCCCCAACGAACCAGGAATGGATGGTGTTATGTGATTTTGTCGTGAGAAACTTTTATCCAGGTCGTATGGTTCTCAGTGCTTGTGTCTTCAAGGACTCTGGAAGGAAGTATTAGTTTTTAAGGACTCCGAATAAAAGGTATCATTTGCAGTGGAAACGTGGTTTTGTTTTTTATATTTGCCTTCTTCGTTGTGGTATGAATCTAACCTGAAAGCTAGAGACATCTGCTGCAACCTAACGTGTAGGTGAAGTAAGATAATTACCATATCTGGTCTTCCTGCTGTGAATACCTGAACGGCAGTGCAACTCTGTATTGATCCGTTGATTTTCTGCTATCCCCGCTATAGAATATTAAAGGCAAGATACTTACAGACTGCTCTTTATGGAGACAAAGGAAAATCAATGCAACTGCATTTATATGGTACTCAATCAAACGGTTGCCGTTGATCATGTACGGAGTCATGTGGTGGTTTCGCCCTAATGTATCGTCGATACGTAGGGGACTCAACACTTACTAGAGGTATTGCGACCCATATTGTGGAGATTTTAATCAAAACTACTCGGTTCTTTATTGAGAGCGCGCCAAACATTGGAACTGCATAGCGGAACCACTGTGACTTTCAATGCTTATTGACGGACACTAAGCAACTTACAACTGCACAATTTACTTGAGCAGTGCCTGAATAAACCATTTGTTTGAGCATATACCGGTGCATATGTCAGCACCCGTATCGTTTGTATTCCACTTTACCCCGCTGTTGGGCCATGGTGAGTATAAATCTGCAGCCATCATTATGCCGTCCTGATGTTCTCAGCCGTTCTCGAATGCCAGCTGAATAAAATAAGACTTGACACCCATAAAATCGACCCGAAAACGGTTGCATTTCACATGCACAACAATGAAATGAAGCCCATATATTCGTTGTCTAATATCCATCATTAACTTTTACAATGTCACACCTGATTGTATTTCAATCAAAAATCTGTGACACGTTTTGTGCACGATTCCACAAAACCCACGCATGTGTCCGATGTTCTTTAAATAAATTTGCAGAGTTTTATATTTTCGTGCCAAAAAGTCCAATTCACCCAGATTTACGGTAAAAGTGAGCGATTGTCTGAGGTGCCAGCATCCTTCACTACTTAGTTTGCATGTCTCCGTATAGCATTTCACTCCTGTTAAGGAAAGGCCAATCACAAAGGCAGTTCCATCGCTTAGTTTACTCAAAAATAAATACAAATGGCAGAGTTATATCCAGGTATCCTGACATCACTGAATACCCTAGCGCGTTCGTGATAAATGGGTCATTCAAGACACGTCTTTCCCCAATTGCATCTAATGCATGATTGTCGAACATTGTTACCGACAGTGCGCTTTTCAATGAGTGAGCAGGTTTATTTTGCCATTTCACCTAACCACGAAGGAAAATCAACGCTAATTATAGGCAACTGCTGATATAGCAAAACACTAGGAACTCAAAATCTCCCGGGACACATTTGAGATACAATGGAAAACGATGATTTTTATTTAGAAGGCGAAATCTATGTGCATGACAGAAGACATGCTACCGTAGTTTAATAATTCTTTACCAATCAAGTATGCGCCTTAAGCCATGTACCGGGCCAGCCTTGGCTACAATGTAACATCTGGTTAGAGATGGTTCTAGTGCACATACGCTAAGTTCTGTGAGATCGCGGCGTTTCTCCTATCAACTCTCTATCAACTGGTTAGTTGATAACCATGACCCGCTCCAGGAATGCAGCATTTGCCGACTCGACACAATTTACCGATGCCTCTTTATTTTGCCTCCCACCTCTCGGTAGCATCTAATTGAGGTAGCGCTGAGAAATGGAATTTCATGAAGCAGATCTTTTCTCATCATGCAGAGTACATGTTCTGGATAGCATACTTAATGGGGCGTGAATATTTCATTCAAGTTGGCGGGTTTCCATATCCAATATCACTTGATGAATCTCAAGATTGGTAATCAGATTTTCCATCAGAACTTACCAATGCTTTGAGCAAACTGATAATCAAAGACTGACATTTTTCGTAAGTCCTCCACGCGTAGAGGTCATGTTTCTGAGCTTTAATGCGTGTTCTTACCGTAACACACAGTCTAGTCGATGACCTTGACTGAAGCTCACTCTGAAGTGTGAGGCAGATTTCCTTAGACTACTTACAACGTGTTGCGCACGGAACAAGCGGAGCGATTTCATCTGCATTTTTACCGGCTACGGGTGGTAAGTCTCGTTAACAATTTTATTCCCGAGACTTGATCGTTGGGCTGATAAATTTCAAACAGAAGGCCTGCAACAAATTTTACGAAGGAGACCCGAAAAACGTTCAGCCATGTCCTAGACCACTGCAGGCTCTGAACTTGGGCAACGCTTTC